TTTATCGGGTGGTGTGCACACGAGCGGCCGAAGTAAGGGCCGATAAGGGTCTTTGAGACCACAGATACAAGAACAAGTTTTCAGTTTCAGCTCTTATATATTTTAGTCATGATAAGTTGTTATCGATGCAGTATTATTCAGTACTGGTCTTTGCGGAGCATAGTGGTTTGCTCACGCCCCCATTGTGTTTTTCAGGTGACAGAGTCGAGCGTGCTGGGTGAGCTAAGCAGATGTGGCGAATGTGGTCATGATTACGAGGACATTTTATACACGCATTTTATGTCCTTAATTCATGAACCAATTTTATTATGTATGCGTGTAATAAGTATGTTTCCAAGACTTATGCTTCCGCTTAATTAGACAGTGCGAGACATCAGACTGTATGTATGGCTTCCATTATCTCCGTAACAGTTTGATTGGGTTACATGTTAATTTATGTCCGTATAAGTATGATAAGCAAATTTCATCTGCAGCATCCCGCAACAAGTTAGTATTTTCAAAAATCGGCTCGCACGATCTTTCGAAAATAAAAGCAAAAATTTTACTCTGATTTTTTTCAAAGCTAGTTGAGGCGGGGTGTTACAATTGCGATGCAGACTGGGCTGGAAATCTTGATGATAGGAAAAGTACTTCCGGTGACTGTTTCTATATAGGATCAAATATGGTGTCTTGGTTCTGTAAGAAGCAAAACTGCATCTCACTCTCTACTGCTGAAGTCGAGTACATCGCGGCAGGGAGTTGTTGCTCTCAGTTTGTCTAGATGAAACAAATCCTTTTTTAATATGGTATGAAGGTACATTCGACTCAACTTTTCTGTGACAACACGAGTGCAATAAATATTTCAAAAAATCCTGTCCAACATTCTCGAACCAAACATATTGATATTCGCTATCATTTCATTCGTAATTTGGTGGAAGATGAAATTATTGTGTTGGATCATGTACCTACAGAAGATCAGCTTACATATATATATATATATACATATATGTATATATATATATATATTGGTGTTGCATATTAGAATTCTCAGCATTTAGGCATAGTAGTATGTAGGACCATCCCGAGGAGCTTCCTTGAATAATTTATCGTTTGATGCATTAATCAAAGTTCTTTGGATTCTAACTGGTCAGTTTGGTTGAGCTCATCATAATGATCATGTAAAAATTACTTGTAAGAGCTACTCTCGTGAAAGTAAGCATCGGGCAACTATCACATAAGGTGTTTCCATGATCACCTGTGAAACGAGTTACGTGCTTAGCAATAACCGAGGTGTGATAGGTACTTGTTGAATGCAAGTTCATTGTTGAAATAAGGTTGGCCATCGTACACGCGTCCTCAGTATGTTCTAAGGAAACTTTTTGCGTGATGATTCACACCTCAAGTAATGAGCTTGACATTGGCGTATAATTGATGTTAGTAAGTGAATTGGTGGGGAAGTTCATAGAACGAAGTAAGTTCATCATGAGTATAGGGGCTGAATTGCGAATGAAAATTTAGTGCTTTTCTAAGAGAAAATGATGGATGAACCTATATTAATTCCGTTTTATATAAAAGTTGGAGTTCTAAGGACTGAGTTGGCTTTGATTTCTCTTCATTTTGTTAGTGTCGAGCTCCTTAAAAATTGATTCGAAAAGATTCTTAGATCAATCGGTTATTGTATCTCTTGATATTGCATGATTGGGAGCATTTTCGTTTTTGTGTGATAATTAATTTATTTAGGCATGTGCATAAAATTCCCTTGTGATTGATTGTGTTTCGAATTGTGCTAAATTATTTTTGGTACTAAAATCTGACCATGGTATTTCTCTGAAACTTCATATCATGTATATATGGTAGCATATGTCATAAAATTGGTAAGTGAATCTTTCATTTTGGAGGGAACGGCTTTCCTTCTTTGCATTAAAGTGCTTCACAAGTTTGAATTTGAAAATTAAAAATAGAATCGTCCATTCATATCTGCTCCATATCTAGATAACGAAAATATCCCTTCTCTATAATTATCAATCTCGTCATCTCTCTCTCTCTCTCTCTCTCTCTCTCTCTCTCTCTCTCTCTCTCATTCACATATCTATCTTCCAAAAATTCTCCTCTAACCCTAAAATTCTCTAATCTTCCTTTCTCTAAAAAATCACCTCTTGAAATCATGCCTAAATCTAAACAAACTACCGTGAAGTCGGAAAAGGATGTTCCAAAACCCTCTCGCAGGTCTACTAGACAAAGCGGAAGTACAGAGACAACTCCTAAGGCATCTTCCGACAAGGTGACTAAAAACGTGCAACATTCTCAGCGGGTCCAAACTAGGGTTTCTCCATGCCCCAAGAAATCCTCCACGGCAAAGGTGGTTCACTCCGACGTTGCGGGTGACATTG